CATTTTTCTTTATGCAGTGCTAGTTTGCTCACCAGACTAGACGCAACCGAGATCAACGTCAGGAGACAGTCTGAGTAACTCAGATATTCTTTGCGGTTCTATGGCAATAGACGATAGCTTACAAGGCGGTTGGATTAAACGAACAGTCTCGCGAATGACACGAACGCGTGGCTGCCGCTTTATGAGCGAACAAGGCCAAGCGTCGATGAACAAAGAACGAGGAGGGCAGTCAATGAATGCGTGAATGTAGCGAATGAGGTCAAGGGATACAGGACATGGAGACTCGACTAGGCGGGAGCGAGGAACATGCGCTTCAAATAAAGTTGGCTTACTAATATATTTTAGTAGCAAGTAAAACATCGACTTTACGAATGTTACACTCCCTCCCACTCTGGTCTTTTCCATTTTCATTTGCGGCAGTGTCGATTAAGCGTCCTGCCCAATGAGGCAGCCGGGATCTGATACATTTGAGGCCTGCGTGTTGTCAGCAGTGCGGAGAGTTCGGTAGAGATTCACGGTGGGAGCGTCTGTGGGAAGGTGTTAATACAGTTTTTTGAACTCCATGCAAATTCTCAGGAGGTCAAATTTCCGCCTATTCAAACACTTCCTTGATTATGTTAGCCAATAGGAGTTGTCATAATGGTTTTCTTGGTCCATAGGCTTTCTTATTCAGTCTTTTTGTCCTTTGTGCAACTTTTTACCTAGGTTTTTAATTCAGTAAAATAATTGCAAATAGCTTTAGTTTATTTCCTACTGTGCACTTTTCACGCATCAAACATGCCTTAAGCAAGCATTACCCCTTTAAACTCTTATTCCGTAAGACACTTGGGCTAGGAGACTTTTGCCACTGGGCGACCCTACGATAAATCCCTGTCGTCGTCAGCTTCAGAGATCAAACTTTAGTAGTGTTTTGTTTTCATGAATCGGAGAGGGCAAATGCTAGCTGCATTTGAAAACCCCGTCACTATATTCACTTAAAAGTGAAACGATGTTAAACATCTGTGGATCAGACTTGCATGAAAATCTCGCTACTCGGACCTTATTCCGTGCTTGAACTGGAAGTACCTTAACATTTTCGAGACTCTGAGGGAAATTAGGTTGGAGATGTTTTGGCATTATTATTTACAGTCCTGTTTCAACTGACGGAGAGAAGTTAGCGATTAAAAGACCTGGCGTTGCTGTTTCTGAAAAGCAGGATGCGTGCGGTTAATGGAACCGTGGCGTTTGAACTACCCAAGGCTTCAGTTTCAAGCTGAAATCCACCATCAGAACCCTTAACATACGAGGATGAATGCACAGAGGTTGTGGTCTGCAGAAGCTGCATACATTCACTTGCCTCAGTAAAATAAATGGCACCTGCATTCATCAAAGAAGGTCGTGTTGGCTGAGGCAATTGCCCCCCCCTCCATCGTTTGCACTTGATTGCAAATTAATTGTCAGTGTGACAATGGTCCAGCTATTTGGCTCGCAATGCTACGATCAGTAGAAGAGCACTGTTTGCCTCTATGCTTCCCGTGTGGCTAAGTACTTGACGCAACCTAGGTTTTGGCGCACACTGTATACGGGGGTGTCGATACCTGCGGAAGGCGGAACCCTGACTCAATCATTTTGTAGTTTGAGTGGTTGGCTAATCTTGCGAGAAATTTGGCCTCCATATTTGGAAGTGGGGCCAATTCCCTTTGGGAGGCAACCGCGGCTTGTGAGTCGGCGTTTGTGTGACGCCCCTTCCCCCCCCCGTTGGGTATTGACTAATTTTCGAAGTGGTTGCGTCGACGAAAATGACGGTTTCTCAAATGACAAGTCAGGGAAGACAGAGGGGAGAGAGAGTAGGTTGGACCAACTTATAACTAGAAGAAGAGGGCTGTACGAAGGGCTCTGTCACCCGCAAGCTTCTAGCTGTGTCTTCACGCGTTCCTTTGTCGCCTAAGCAACCAAGCAGATTAAACTGCGCGCGCTTCAAGTGGCGAATCGACCGGGAAACGTGAGACGAACGGGCCAGGACGTGGGGTAGACTGTCACGCGCGAACGCA